ATTCCCTCTTCAAGGGAGATCAGTCTTGTTCTATGAAGGCCTTCAAATCACTGGATGAGACCCACCTACATTATGGAAGCTAATCTGCTTTACTCAAAGTCTACTAATCTAAATGTTAATTTCATCTAAAAATACCTTTACAAAAATATCTAGGATAATGTTTGACCAAATATCTGGATACTGTGGCCTATACAAATTGACACAAAAGGTTAACTTCACAGACGGAAATAATCCAAATGCCCATCAACATTTTGTTTGGGATAAACAAAATGTGGTATATACATACAATGGAAAATTATTCAGCCTTAAAAAGCAATGAAATTATGACACTTACTACAATATGGATGAACCTTGAAGACATTATGCTAAGTGAAACAAGCCAGTCATAAAAGGACAAATACTGTATAATTCCACTTATAAGAGGTAACTAGAGTAGTCAAATTCATAAACACAGAATACAGAACGGTTGTTCCCAGAGGCTGGGGGGAGGGGAGAGGAAGGTAACAGAGAGTTATTGTTTAATGAATACAGAGTTTCAGTTTGATGAAAAAGTTCTGGAGGGACTTCCCTGGTGGCACAGTGGTTAAGAATCCGCCTGCCAATGCAGGGGACATGGGTTCGAGCCCTGGTCCAGGAAGACCACACATGCTGTGGAGCAACTAAGCCCGTACACCACAGCTACTGAGCCTGCGCTGTACAGCCCACAAGCCACAACTACTGAAGCCCACGCGTCTAGAGCCCGTGCTCGGCAACAAGAACAGCCACCACAATGAGAAGCCCGCACACCGCAACAAAGAGTAGCCCCCGCTTGCCACAACTAGAGAAAGCCCCCGCGCAGCAACGAAGACCCAAGGCAGCCAAACTAATTAATTAATTAATTAATTAATTTTTAAAAAGTTCTGGTTGCACCATAATATGAATGTACTTGACGTCACTGAACTATACACTTAGAAATGGTTATAATGCCAAATTTTGTTATGTTTATTTTACCACAGTAAAAAAATGAATTGCTTACATGTATAGGCTTTACTATGACACAGACACCATGCTAAATGCCTTATATTGATTTTCTCATTTAATGCCTTTGATATTCCCATTTTATAAATAATAAAGCCTAGAGAAAGTGACTTGCTCAAGGTACACTAGTAAGAGGCAGATCTAGGGTTGAAACTCTCCATCTGACTCCAAAATCCATGTGCTCAGTCAGTGTGCTATACTGAAAAGAGTGACTCCATTAAAGTAATGAGATAGAAAGCAAATTAAACTGTTTTTCAAGTAATATTTTAAAGTTGATTAAACATATTAAAAATTTTAATTTTTAATTCCCCCAAAAATATCGAATCCAGACTGGGTATGACTAATAATAAGACACCTAAAATAGTCCTACGTTAACCTTCACCATGAGACATTCTTATCCCAAAACCACAGCATCTCCAGAAATGAGACAAAAAAACAGGCTGCCCAAGAAATAGGAATAGAAAGTGTACCTGGCATCTGCCCCATTCTTCCACAAGCCTTGGAACATTTCATAGTTTCTCTATTTTTTTTAAATAAAACTACTGTGGTTCCATTTATATTTTTAAATTATATTTACATTTAGATCTACACCTGTGAGTAGATTCTTGGAGAAGGACTGGAAGGATACAGACCAAACTATTAGCAAAGATTACCTCTGGAGAAAGTAGTAAAATGGAAAGAAGGCAGGTAAATAAAGGGGAAACCATTACTTTTGACACATACACTCTGTTCCAGTTTCTCAAAGGATACAGTCATTCAACTGACATTACTGAATGTCTACCATAAGTCCAGGGTCTACGGTGGTTCTGTTCAATCAAGATGAAAAGACAGAATGATTATCTGTAATGAGCTCCATCTAATAAACAAGTAACACATCTCCTGTCTGCATGTGCAACGCATCCCATAGACAAGACTCATGTTTCTACACCAATGTTCATGGTGTAGAAACATGCCATGTTGGTATTATGGTCCCTGCAGGGAATTTTTACCAACCCCACTCCTCCAAATGGTCCCTTCCCCTCCAGTGATTCTCCCTCCATGGACTTCTTGACTACCACCGCCACAAACAAAAAGAGCAGCCCGGCTATATTACACCCAAGGCAGCATAGACTAGTGGTGAAGGCTTGGGCTCTGGAGTTACACCGTCTGGGTCTGCATCTGTCATTTGTACAGTGTGACCTTGGGCAAGTTTCTTAATCCGCCCGTGCCCCTGTCACCTCAACTAATAGGTACCAACCCTCACAGGATTACTGAGATGCTTACATGAGTTAAGGCAGGTAAAGCACTCAGAACAATGTCTGTCATATATTAAGTGTTCAGAAAATCCATTACTCACAGATGGATCAAATAGCCTTCTAGAAGCAACAGACTGTCCCAGGGAAAAGAAATAAAAGATCATCCAACGGAAGAGGGATCTTAGAGATCATTTTACAGATGATGGCACAGAGAGGGCCATAATGGCTCAATGTCTTGCCCAAGGACACGCAGGTGGTCCACGGCAGCATCAGGACCAGTCTCAGGTTCTCTCTGACACAGCACAGTGCTCTCAAGGAAGAGAAAGCAGAGCTCTCCAAACTGACTTGTCACTTAGGTGCATACTACAGGTCTCATCTACTTTAATACTCGTGCATCCTAAAGTTATAAGTATTAGCATGTGAATGCTCGATTCTCTGAGCAGCACGAAAAGGGCTTTTTGGCACACACTGTGTGTGTGTAAGGGTTGGGGAGGGGTGCAGGTGCAACAATCACATCCATGTCAAAGACTAGGGCATGACCTGTTTCTGAAATGTAGCCTCAGTAATTGTCCAGGATGCCAGACCACTTCAGCAGAGCTCCAAGACAGCCACCACAGAGTGAGTCCAATAAGTGGAGCTGAGACTCACTGGTCAGTCCTGCAAGGCCCTGAGGTGGGGGTCACTGAAGCAGTGGAGCAGATCAGGAGGGGTATGCTGGGCAAGGGGGAGAAACTGAGAGATGGATCATTCCAGAAACACCTCCAACTATGTAACTGCTGCAAGTTCAGCTTGTGACCCCCTACCAGTCTTGCCTCCCAAGTCTCCTTCTCCACTGAGAGGCTCTCCATGCCGCCCTCTCCTACCTCTCCCAATTTTCCAACCTTTCCACCTACTAAGCTCTCACAGATTATCCCGCATCACAACCCAACATCCCCCCAGGAGAAATTCACACTTTCCAGCCTCAGTGCTTTTTTGCCCACGCTTTCCCTTCCTCCTGGAGTGCCTGCCACCTTCTGTTCTATGATCCCTTTCCCCTCAACCAAAGCCATTTGGCAAAATCCTTTTCCAGAAATGCCAACCCTTTCTTGAAACCATCCTACGAGAAGAAGTCCTCTTTCCCAGAACCCTCTAGGTCTTTCTAAGGCACTTGATAAATTCTACCTCACTTCCCTCTCCAGACTCTCTCTCCTTTACAGCCATATACAATGCCCCATTAACAAGGGGTCTGCACTCAGTAAACACCAGTTGCTAGTGTAGAAGTCAAAATGGTGGCTGGGAAAACAAGTGCAGCAGGGGAAGCCGAAAAGGACGGCAATGAAGAGTGTGCACAACAGCAAAGACTAACTCTGTGCCAGAACCAAGGGTTTAACGCGTGTTAACTCACCTAGTTTTCAAGACAATCCCATGAGATAGGTGCTATTATTGCCACGTACAAAGGAGGGAACTGAGGTATGATGGGCTGAGTAACCTACCCAAGGTCAAACGGCAGGGTTTTAAATTGAACCAGGCCAGCTGGCTCTTTATACTGATTCTCTGCAACACTGTTCCTTCTAACCCTACATCCCTGAAAACCACTTCAACTCTTCCACTCACAGTGTGCAATGCCTTTCTGAATCAAAAACACACTTTGCAACTTGCGATTATGGCACCTACTGCTTTCTAAGTCAAAAATTAAAGATCAATTCTGGCCACAACTGCCACAAGAGTAAATAACATATGATAAAGTCTCAAATCTAAAACACTGCTTAAACAGAGACAATTATAGATGTTTGGGATGGAATGGGCCTCTGGCCATTCACCTAGCTCAATATTTGCCATCATTTCCATTTTAAAGTCCTGAAATATATACCAGAATTATGTGCAAGCACAAACATCTAACAGCACTCTGAATATTACTCTGATAGAATTATGGGGGTAATAATATAATTATAAGTTTATTGATGCACACAGTGGTCTATCACGTTTAGTGTGGTTTTTTAACAATCATCAAGGAATTTGGGCTTACCACTAAGGACAGGAGAATATAGAAAAGACATTGAGCTACATTCACATGTAAGTGAAACAGTAATTACCTATATAATTCAGGACTTAAATAATTTAATATTAAATATCCCATTAAAGGAAGCAAAAGTTTTGTTAATTCTGAATAAGCCAGATAACTTTTCAATCTTCTGACGAAACAGGGGGGGAACTTCCGTGGTAGTGCAGTGGTTAAGACCCCATGCTCCCAATGCAGGGGGCCCGGGTTCGATCCCTGCTCAGGGAACTAGATCCCACATGCATGTCATAACTAAAAGTTCGCATGCTGCAACTAAGGAGCCAGCCTCCCGAAACGAAGACCCAGCGCAACCAAATAAATAAATACTTTAAAAAAAAACAGGGAGGGGGGATGGAGAAAAATTCCGGCTTTACAAATGTATACTCTGTTCTCACAGAAAGAAAATAGAAAAATAAATGTATCAATAGATTCAACTTTGAAGGTAGGAGAGGCTTTTTACAGGATAACAGTTAAATTTCTGTTTCAGGAAATTTTTAAATAGCACACAGATGACCCCAAAATTAAATTTAATTAAATTACATTAAAATGTTAGCAAAGCAGAAGAAAAGGAAACGAGGTTCTGTGCAGTTTGTGGCAGCAAGCGATATTTTTCTCTCCCTGATGAGAAGGCTTAGTGAGAACTGCAAAAAGACGCAGGGTAGAGATCACAGCGGGAGAAATAAGATATCCAGCACGTACCCAAAACTTACCCAACTCGGTCTTACTCAACGCTATTTTTCACACTTTGCCAGTTTTAAATCAGAGAGCGGCTGGGATTTTGCTGTTGCTGTTTCTGTCCTTTTGATCCCAGAGCCCCATGAAAGTTAAACTGTGTGTTGGATGGGATCTGGCACCGTCTCGCATTAGGGCGAAAAAAGTTTTAAACTTGGATTCCTGGTTGCTTCTTTGGAAAAGTGAATAAATAAGTGGCTGAAAGGAGAAGACGTGGGGGACGTGCTCAGCTGACGTCGGGCCCGCGAAGGGGCCGCACAGTTCCTCAGCGCAGCTGTCCAGATGTGCCTCATCTGGTTCCCCGGCGGGGCACGAGCCTCGGCGGCCACGGCTAGCAGAAGCTCCAGCTCATTGGTCTCCGGGGCTCCTCGCTTGCCGCCTATTGGTCGGCCGGCCCGCCACTCCCTCGGTCCTCGGGCCCGCCCCCCGCCCGCCGGGCCAGCTCGCTCCATCCTCAAGAGGAACCTGGAAGTGCATCCCGGGCGCTGATGTGGCACTCCGCGGCCGCTGCGGGCGTGGGAGGGGCCCGGCCGGAGAGAGGTCCTCCTCACCCAGGGCTTACCCCTGTCCTGGCCCCTGTTATACCGATCCTTTCCGGCAGTTAGTCTGGTTTGTTCAAACAGGATGATTTCAATCTGTTCATGGGATGAAATTAATGCGCGCCCCACGCTGGCTTAAATCCCCAGCATTTCCGAGTTAAAGGGACTGGGGCTCAGGGATGCCCACGCCCCCAAAGGGCCTTCAGGCCATGTCTCAGAACTTCAGTCTCCCCTCTTTATCCAGGGAGCGAAAAATGAAATTCAAGAGCCTGTTTCATGGGGACAGTATTCTTTTGTTGGAAGAAAAAAACTTAATGAACCCTTCACCAAAGTCCTCATTAACTAGAAAACTCGTTCTTTCTGCAGAGAAGCCCAGGGCTGATTACAGGAGTGACTTGGAAGACTTGGTTTGTTTGGAATTTTTGTTGGGTGGTGGCTGTAGGAAAACGAGAAATGTTGCTTTGTTCTGTGAGAATGTACACCAAACGATGCTTTGATCCTGGGGAAACCTTTGAAAGATTGATTAGTTGGGAGAGTGTCTGCAAATCAATCACCATTACAATTTGAGGGTGTTGACAGAAATGTGAGCTCATTGAAACATTAAGAGGGCAAGAGCTACCTTCATTGAGCCACACACCATGAACTGGGCCAGCCCCTATACTTAAAACCACCTTATGAAATACATATTAAAATTATCTCCACTTTCAGATGAGGCTACCAAGACACAGAGCAGCCTCTCCCAGCATGCCACTGAGGTTTCCAATATTTGTTTGCAGCATGGGTACATAAACATACCTGCCCTTTGCCAGGAATAGGTGAGTCAGAGTTTATTGTGAGTGCCTCTACCTTCTGATGTCCAAAGCTTTCACTTCATAGATAATGTCCTCTTGGTCGGTCTATTTGTTATCTATTGCTATGTAACAGATTATCACAAATGTAGTAGCTTGAAACACCACACATTTACTAATGCAGTTTCTAAGGGTCGGAAGTCCAGGCATGGCTTAACGGGATCCTCTGCTCAGGGTCTCACAAGGCTGCACTCACAGTGTCTGTCAGGATGCATCCTCATCTGGAGGCTGGAAGGGGGAAGAATCTACTTCCAAGCTCCCTCAGGTTGTTGGCAGGATTCATTTCTTTGCAGCTGTAGGTCTGTGTCCCCAGTTTCTTTCTAGATGTCAGCTAGCAGCTGCCCTTGCCTCCTAGATTCTAGTCTCATTCTCCTGCAGTTTCTGAAAACCAGGAGGTGGAGGTCATGGGGGTCCGCCTTAGAGTCTGTCTGCCACAATGGGCTAGTCAGACACCTCAGTCTCTACAGCCCTGAATGCCATGTCATCTCACCTCCACAATCCCTCCAAAAATTCAGAGCCCCACTCACCAAGTAAAAAAATACGTAAGTGGATTCACAACACTCAATCCCTCTGGCAGTCAAGGAAACCCACAAAGGAAGTTTGGCCCTTGAAATTAATCATGAGCTTGGCTTTCTGGGACATCCGTAATCTGATAATGGTACACTTTTAACCCAAGAGTTACTCAACAATGGGCTGATAGTCAAGGTACATGATCAAGCTTCTACATTCATTACCATTGACAAGTATCTGATATTGTTGACCATTGGAACTGCTTCCTCAAAAATCTACTAAAAAAAGATTTCGGGAGACTTCTGCTTTCAAGAATATGGAGTAGATATAATTTTCCCTGTTTTTCCTGCAGTATAATACCACCAAAAATCCTGACTTTACATATAAACAAACATAAGAAGATTCTGAAAGGTTGAAAGAAGAGGCAGATGGGCTAGGAATCTAGGGACCCAAGGAATGCTATGATGGTGAGTTCCCTGGATTTTCTGTCTCATTGATCCAGACTTGGAGCCCAGCAAAAGCCTGTTGTTTTTTGTTGTTAGCCAAAAAACCAGGAAGCAGAAGCCTAGAAAGACAAAATAAGTTTAGACGGTAATGGCTATGCTCCAGCCAAACACCCCAGAAGAAACTGTGGCTTCCCCCACATCCACATCAGCAAATGGGGTCCTAGACTTCCACCCTTGCTATAATAAGGTGAAAACAAAGGGCTAGTTCTTTGAAAAGATCAATATAATAGACAAACTGCTAGCATGACTGACAAAGAAAGTAAAGAGAGAAGACACCAATTACCAGTGTCAGGTACAAAACAAGGGATCTCATTAAAGACCTTGCAGGCATCAAAAAGAAAGTAAGGGAATACTCCAAACAACTCTACACACATAAATTTGCCTTAAATGAGAGGGACAAGTTCCTTGAAAAACACAAATTACCACAACTCACCCAATAGGAAATAAATAATTTGAATAGCCCTGTAACTATTAAGGAAATTTAATTCAAATTCAAATACTCCCAAAAAAGAAATCTCCAGGCCCAGATGGTTTCACTGGAGAGCTCTACCAAACATTTAAGGAAGAATTAACACCAATTCTACATAATCTCTTCCAGAAAATAGGAGAGAACACTTTCCAATTGACTTTGTGAAGACAGTATTGCTCTGATGCAAAAGCAGAGAAACACAGAATAAAAAAGAAAACTACAAACCAATATCCCTTATGAATATAGGTGCAAAAATATCAGCAAATAGAATTCAGCAATATATAAAAATTGTTATACACCATGAGCAAGTGGGGTTTTTTCCCCAAGGATGCAGTCCTTGTCTAATATTCAAAAATCAATCAATATAAACCATGATATTAACAAACTAAAGAAAAAACACAAACCTATAAATCAACACAGAATAAGCACATTCAACAAAATTCAGCATTGTAAAAATGCTCAGAAAAATAGAAAAAGAGAAGAGAACTTCCACAAGAGCGGGTACAAAACACCCACAGCTAGCATTATACTTAATGTGAAAAACTAGATGCTTTTTGTACATACTTTGTGATTCTATTTATATAACATCCTTGAAATGACAAAATTATGGAAATGGAAAACAGATTAGTGATTGCCAGGGGTTAAGGAGATGGTGGGGTGGAAAGGAAATGAGTGTGACTATAAAAGGACAAAATAGAGGATCCTTGTGGTGTTGGAAGAGATCTGTAGTTTGACTGTATCCATGGGATAAAGTTGGGATATTTTACTATAATATATTTGCAAATAATAATGCAAAATGTTACCATTGGGGAAAACTGGTTAAAGAGTACAGGTCTCTCTGTGTTATTTCTTACAGCTGTATATGCATCTATAACTATCTCAAAATAAAAATTTTAATTAAAAATGCAGACTCCCCTGAGCAGTCCCAACAGCTGTCAACAGCCCTGGTCTTTCCAAGGATACTATGGGCATCCACAAGACTGTACTTCTTGAACAGGAAGCCAGGCATTAACTCGCCTCTGTCTCCAAAACACAGTGACTTGCATCTTAAGAATGCTCATAAGAGACATACAAGTGTTTAACCAAACACCACCAAGCCGATAGTGTTACTTGCAGACCATGTACATCTCTCAAAAACAAGACTATCTATCCTACTTCGAGAAGCTTCCCCTAGGTATAAATGACTCATTACTAACATTTTTCCATAAAATAGGAGTTATCCAATTAGAAAAGATGGTGCAAATTTTACCCCTTACTTTAGAAGAAGTGATCAGTGACTCCACCTTGATCCTCAAAGGCATTCAAGTCAGCTTTAAATCAGTGGTCAGGAATAAAGATGGCCAATAGGCACATGAAAAGATGCTCATCATCGCTAATTATTAGAGAAATGCAAATTCTCTAAATGAGGGGCTTCCCTGGTGGCGCAGTGGTTGAGAGTCCGCATGCCGGTGCAGGGGACGCGGGTTCGTGCCCCGGTCCGGGAGGATCCCGCGTGCTGCGGAGCGGCTGGGCCCGTGAGCCATGGCCGCTGGGCCTGCGTGTCCGGAGCCTGTGCTCCGCAGCGGGAGAGGCCACGGCAGTGAGAGGCCCGCGTACCGCCAAAAAAAAAAAAAAAAAAAACCACAATGAGGTACCACCTCTCACCAGTAAGAATGGCCATCACTAAAAAGTCTACAAATAATAGGGGATTGCTGGGGAAGATGGCAGAAGAGTAAGACGCGGAGATCACCTTCCTCCCCACAGATACACCAGAAATACATCGACACGTGGAACAACTCCTACAGAACACCTACTGAACGCAGGCAGAAGACCTCAGACCTCCCGAAAGGCAAGAAAGTCCCTACGTACCTGGGTAGGGCAAAAGGAAAAAGGAAAAAACAGAGACAAAAGAATAGGGATGGGACCTGCACCAGTGGGAGGAAGCTGTGAAGGAGGAAAGGTTTCCACACACTAAAAGCCCCTTCAAGGGCGGAGACTGCGGGTGGTGGAGGGGGAAAGCTTCGGAGCCACAGAGGAGAGCACAGCAACAGGGGTGCGTAGGGCAAAGCGGGGAGATTCCCGCACAGAGGATCGGTGCTGACCAGCACTCACCAGGCCGAGAGACTTGTCTGCTCACCCGCCAGCGCGGGCGGGTCTGGGAGATGAGGCTCGGGCTTCGATCGGAGGGCCCAGAGAGGACTGGGGTTGGCGGCGTGAGCACAGCCTGCAGGGGGTTGGTGCGCCGCGAAAGGAGCTCCAGAGACAGGCGCGAGCCGCGGCTAAAAGCGCAGACCCCAGAGACGGGCATGGGACGCTAAGGCTGCTGCTGCCACCACCAAGAAGCCTGTGTGCGAGCACAGGTCACTATCCACACCCCCCTTCCGGGGAGCCTGTGAAGCCCACCACTGCCAGGGGTGCCGGGATCCAGGGACAACTCCCC